AGAACTCTCTCTCTCTCTCTCTCTCTCTCTCTCTCTCTCTCTCTCTCTGTGTCCAGTACTAACCTGTGAAGTTGGCGCCTTGATGCAGGTACCACGAAGATGGAGCTGGAGTTATGGCGCCACAGGTACGTACCACTGGCCTCCGCCCGTATCTCTCCCACTCTACGATCTACCACCTATCATAGCGCCCAGCGCTGAAGACTACCTCTATGGCTATGGGCGCCCAGCGCCGAAGACTACAGCTAGCGCTAATACCTGCCTAGYGYTGAAGACTACTGCAGCGCTCCTCCTGMGTGCTGCGGMYGAATCCTGAAGACTACTTGTCCTACTGACCACTACCTACCCGTGAAGTGCATGGGAACTTCCTATGTACTACCGGGTGTGCCTCCTCAGCCTGCCGAAGGGAGGCAGGGGCTGCAGCTGCAGCTCCTGCTCAAACTCGTGAGGAACAAGCTATTTCTAGCCTGTTCTGCATCCCTGTTTACGTGCCTGAGTCTTAGGGGCAGGTCGAAACAATGAGGGCCTGAAAATGGCCCTCCGTTTCAGGCTGAAAACTCTGGGTCTGAAAAAACCCTGAAATAGGCTGAAATAGGGTAGGACCTGCAGGCCCTCGTTTTTCAGCTTTTAGGCTGAAATGACCGGGGCCTGTAAGCCCTAAGTTTTAGGCTTTTAGGCTGAATGTCCGGGACGGGCCCTGCAGGGCCCGTGTGGCTACGCAGTATGCCACCCCCCCCCCTCCTTGAAGAACCGAGCTTACCTGCGAGGGCGAAGCTGTCTGTCCGAGGGAGGGACCACAGTCCGGGTGGGAGGGGCTGGTCGTGAAGCTTCCTGAGCTAACCTGCGCTTTTCATAATTCGCGTAGATCAGCGGTGCGGATGCTTTCAAATCTGCGCCTGAAATCCACCGAGTGTTGTCGCGATCGCATGCTTTGAATGTGACTTTGTACTGCCGCGGCTTGCTGCCGTACTTGCGATCGGAGATGACGCGGCCAACTTCCTGATGACCATCCATAGAAGGACGGTCCTGCGATCGTCGGCCCAGAAAGTCGTCGCTCTTGTCTGGCGTGTATGTTGCCAGCTTCGAGGCGTGGAAGACCGGATGGACCGTCAGATGCTCTGGAATGTTGATCACAAATGAAGGGCCATCAGGCTCATCGCCCGCGGCTGCTGTCACAGACCAAGGTCCAAACCACTTGGGAAGCAGTTTGCGTGAACCATCCTGTTCCAGTGCAAACTCTTCCGCGGAGACCCAAACCAGATCACCGGCGCGGATGGGACATGGTACGCGACGCCTGTTGGCTTGCCGCTGCATGCGGACTTGAGCCTTTTGCATATTTGTGCGGGCTTGAGTCAGCAATTCCTTGCACTTCCGGACGGAAGCGGGAGAGCAGGCAGCATCAATGTCGGCTGATCGAGGGAGGAGAAGGTCGGCGAAGATACGACCTTTCCGTCCACCGTGGTGCAACTCGAATGGAGTCACGCCGATCGCCGGGTGCACCGAAGTGTTGTAGGTGAACTCGATGTCGGGGAGGCGGTCAACCCAATCTTTCTGGTCCGGACGGATGAGCGTACGAAGCATCATTTGAGCGGTTTGATGTCCCCGCTCCGTCTGCCCGTCTGTCTGAGGATGCCGAGCCGAACTTGGTTTCATTGTTGTGTCGGACTCCTGCATGAGAGCAGTCCAAAACGCCGACATGAAACGAGTGTCGCGGTCGCTGACAATGTCTTCTGGTACACCGTGGCCACAAATCCAACCAGTTTGCAGGAGGCGTGCTAGCTCGGGAGCCGTGGAGTAGTACTTGCAAGGGAGAAAACGCGCGTACTTACTCAATCAGTCCACAACCGTGAGGATGTCGTCGTGCTCGAGCCGGCCGCGAGGAAACGGACCGATGACGTCCATGGCAATGGAGAGACCAGGTTCCCGTGGGATAGGCATCGGGTGTAACTCGCCGTAGGGATTGCGGTTGCGGGGCTTGCTGCGCCGGCAAAACTTCGCAAAAGTCGCAATACCGAGTGATATCGGTAATGAGGTCAGGCCATCGGAATCGCTGTCCAAGCCGTGCAATAGTGCGGTTGACTCTGAAATGGCCGGCGAGTCGTGAATCATGATACTCGCCGAGGAGGCAAGTCCGAAGACGACGGTCGCGTTGGACACATAGTAAGTCCTTGCCTCTCGAGTGGAGGAGCAAGTACCCGTCGACAATGCGGAAATGGCTGGCCGGCGGGTGATCCGAAGATAGTTGTGCATAGAGCGTGCCGAAGTCCGGATCAGACTGATATGCTCGAATGAAGTGTCGCTGAAGCTCCTCGTCGAATGCGAAGGCATGATGTGTCATAGCGCAAAGATCAGATCTTCGCGAGAGTGCATCTGCTGCGCGATTGGAGAGGCCGGGGACATGTTTCGGTGTGAAGTCAAATTGGTCGATGAAGTACATCCATCGTCCGATCGTGCTGCTCACCGTGTCCTGCGTCTTGTAGTAGGTCAATGGATTGTTGTTTGTGACCCATGTGA